TTTTCTTCAGCAATAATCCTTTTATTTGTGTAATATTTCGAAGAAAATATTCAAAAAAATTCATCTGTATGAGATCAAAATAAATAACATATGAGGTATGCAAATAAAACAATTTACCGTATGAATTGTTTTTAGTTTGTAGCATTTCAGGCAATACAACAAACGTTTGTGGCAGAAAAGCTATGAAATTGCAAATGATCAGTTGTGATGTGATAAGAATAAATGAATGACTGTAATAATTGTCTCGTCTGTGACTAAGTAATGCGACTGTCATCAATGTATTACTCATAATACCATAAAGCAAAAAAGTGGTAAAAAGTATGACTGCTATGTATTTTGTAATCTTGTGATTCTCATCTCTTATATCAGCCTCATTTGTCGTGTTTCTTTCCTGACAGGCTAAAGGTAATATCAGAAATAACACAGTAATGTAGTAGGAATGGGTCAACATTTTTTCTGTTAATCAACAATCTTTGATAAAAGGGAGAATTTCAGCTGACTGAAATACAGAATTCGGAATTAGAAAATACGACGGATGATAAGAGTGCATTAATTTAATCTAATCCGCAAAATGAGATTTTCATTTTTATAGAAATGCTAATAACAGTGTCACCGCTGTTGTCATTGCTTCTATCCGTAAGAAAAACGTTGCTTTCTAGGCTTAATTTGAAAAATATGAATTGATTTTTGAGCTAAATAAGTTTATATGATTGCATTTTTTTTTGCTATTTAAATCTAACAGAAAAAATTATGGTGATACAACATTAATCGAAAATAATATAGAGGTTTGAATTCTCTGAAAAATTATTATTCAATTTTCACGTGAATATGTTTTCATTGTCCATAAAAAACTCATTTGATTTGCTTTATCTCGTTAATATTCATAAATGATATTAGGAGAAATGAGGCAGTGAATTTTCAACCTACTTCTTTCTATGCCTTAATTGGATAATTGTTTTTGATTCATGTTATCCAGTCGTAAAATGGAATCACATAAACTTATTTAACTGATAACTAAAATCAATTCGTATTTTTCAGATTGAGCTAAGAAAGCAACGTTATTCTTACACGGATGAAAACAATGACGATAGCTGTGATATTGTTATTAGTTTTTCCATATAAATTATATAAAAAATGAAATCTCATTTAGCGGTTTAGATTAGAATTGCTTTTTAATATTAATACAGGATATAATCCTAGAAAATGATGACGTTATAAGGGAAGCCCTTATCAAGAAATTTGGACAACCATTGAAATCGCTTTATAACGAGTCATATTCTATTAAAATAAAAATGATAGAGAATGGAAGATAATTATCAAAAGTATTGAAAGAATAGTTCAGCAATTAGAAGTTATGAGCAAAAATCTAGAACACTCCAGTATTGAAATTATAATTTGAATCTTAGCACAAAATTCATTTCTCTTTAGTACAGTATATGATACTTTTGAACAAATTCATATTATCATTTATTTATTTCGAATTTTTTCATGTATTACTGCTAATAAACTTCTAATACCATTCCACCAGTCGGTATACTTCTTCCTCTTCCTATGCTACAAAAGTTAAATCCTATTGTTGCGATCAGTTTTTGAACGATTTTTTTTCCTGCATCAATGAATTTTTCATGTTTAGCATTTCAGTGAAAACACAATCTTAAACTTTTACGTTTGTCACGTAGATAGCATATTATTTCTTGATGTCATATGTCTTTACTCATGTTCATTGGATACTTTTTTTTGTGCAGAATTTCATTGACCAGAAATACATTCCTCATGAGTGAAACTATTGCTGATCAATTCCTAGTAAAGTTTGATCAAAAATCGGTTGCACTTATTATTAATAAGTTGCTAAATGCCATTATTGTCATTATTAACCATTAGTTATAACTTAAGAATGTTATATGTCTTTCTTCAGAAAACTTCTCAAAATCTTCATATCCTATACATTCCAGAACAATTCATTAGTTTTTCTTTTCTATCACTTTTCACTGATAGCTAATAATGTTATCTATTACTTGCTTATCCAATGACGAAATGATATCATACATAACACACCATTCACATCCTTATTTCTAAAAAATCAAATTCGACCCAAAAAAGAAATAGAAATCATTTCTCTTCTAAACTGTTCAAATTGATGTTCCTTTCAGAATGACTGTAACAATGATTTCAACTTCTTTTTTTTTCACTTTATGATTATGATAAACTTCCACTTCAATTCATCAAAATTGTTCACCAAAGCATTTTACAAAACAAAATGGATACGAACGGACGGATTGGTCGATTAAGCAGTTAGCTGAAAATGAATAAATAAAGCGAATTATTAATGCACTAACCATTCGCAAACATCATACTATTTTACACGAAATGAAAATTTTATATTCGGATATCTCAACATTCGTTTAAAGTAATTATATTCTCTGCATTAAATCAGAAATAATGGAAAAAATAAAGTACATAATCTGTTGGAGTAATCATACAAAAAAAATTCAAGATGCAGCCTATAAAAGAAATACAATTTATGAATTAGATCAGATAAATTTATTTAACATATTCCTTTCCCGTTGTTTGCTAAATCAATGTAGCTTGAAGATTAGCATAGAAAAAGATATGTACTAATAAAAGCAAGTTTTCATCTTGATAACACATCAACTTGTATCACTTCATTTTGAACAATTAATTCGCATGCCAATTTCAACGCATATATTATGTAAGAAATAAAAAAAATTCGCAGTACATGTGAAGCGAAACTTAGCAATTACGTACTATGCCACAAAGAGATTACGTACTATCCCCGCATTTCGCATTTCCGTATGTGCTACACATATGAGAACTATTGACAATTAATACTACATCAAAATATAAGTGGAAAAGGCATTAATCACATTTATTTTAAAGTTCAGTTGTCTGATGATTTTCTTTTGACAATTTCTATAAAATCGTTCTTTCCATCAGCTTTCTCTGCTAACCACTCAGATAGACTGGCTATAATGAGTTCAAATTGAAACAAACTGATGCTCTAATAAAAATGGATGCTTTGCAGAAAAGAATCTGTCAATGATAAGATGATTAAAAATGTTGGCATTCTACACAACACCCGAATTTCAAAGAACAGCCCAATGACTGAAATCAGAGGTTTACTCGGCTCTATATAAATATGTATCAGAAATTGCTCTGCACTGACGGAATTCTAGATATTACTTATAATTTCGTACATAAAGAATAGTTTATATTTCATAAAATTAATCACCGTAGCGATGCAAATCTTTGAAATGGTAAATGAAATCTTTCCTTTCACTCCGGCTACCAATATTCTTTTCATCCATACTGTCGTATAAACAGCGCACGAGATATATTAACCACATCACATTTGTCACAGAACAAAACGGAAACCAATTGTTCCTAGTTAATAATTTTGAAATGACAAATAAGCCTTTGTCATCCTTTATTTTGTTAGAATCATGTACAACAAAGATATAAACTGAGGAAGTATTCAAAGATTTAACAGTCAAAAAAATTTAAGGTATAAACTGAGGAAGTATTCAAAGATTTAAGAGACAAAAAAATTTAACAGGCAAAAAAAATATTTGGTACGATTTACTCGAAATGTCCATTAATAGTTAAAAACTAACTGATATTTTAAAAATATTAAGTTTTTCTTACCGTAGTATTAACTACGAAGATTCAAAGAGAAAATTTATTACTTGTTCACCATGCGCATTGCTCGATAGATCTCGTATTGTAAACAACCTTTACCTGTGAATAATTCATCATCTTTCGCCAAATCAAAAAAAATCGTTGATGTTCCTGGAATTTTTCCATCTTCAGAGTTCAAGTTTAAATGAGATCTAAAAAATTTATTTGAAATTCAGACAGATGCATTTACATTTTTCTAAAATTCTATTAAAATTTCCAATAATATCACACAATTCACCGCACCTTTAGACATTCTGGAGAGGGTAAAATCGATAATTTTCACCTCAACACCATGCGTAGGAACACTAATTTCAGTACCATTATAATTCGCTCTAAAAATATCCGGTTTTTTTTTCTTCAATCAAAATTTAACATAAATTTAAATCTTATCTATTAATATAAGAACGTACCCGACAACGGTATCGAACTGCACATTTCGTATGAGAATATTGCCACAATGGAGGTCACGATGCTCAAATGAAAGTCGATACTCCGCCACAGAAAGCGCCACTAGGACTTGGTAAACAATGCTGTACGCTTGCAAAACATTAGCGATCTACAAAATAGTTTTATTAAAAATTTTAATAAACCAAATTCTCCAAATTAATAATTTTTTTTCTTGAAAAATTAAAATACTTATCCATAAATTAGCCTCTAATAGGTGACAACATTAAGCAGTGTTTCTATTATTTTTATTACTATTTCATATTCTCAAAAGTAATCTGTCGAAAAATTTGAAATAAAAATACCACATATTTTTCGAGATCAATTCCACCATCTTCAAAAGCCAAGAGTAAAAAATGCTGGCTAGAGCTAAAAATGCATGGGTGATCATTTTCGGACTTCATACGTTTGTCGTAATGTTCCCACGCGGTAATTAAAGATTTTGGGTACGACCCTAAAAAATTGCTTAAGAATAAATAATGTTGATTACTCAAAGTTGAACATAAAATATACTATATACATACTGTTTACTATAGAACTTACCTTTAACAACCATAGCTCCTCTTAAATGAATGAAGCCATGCGTGGAATAGCCATCTTCAATGTGCTTCAGATCTGATAATTCCTTCGAAACTATCAATTCTGCGATAATGTCACGAAATGATTTTTGCTTGTCTCCATTAACAATTTTCGTCCCACCAATAGGAATCACCTAAACACAAATATTAGGACAAACAGAAGCACAAGAAAGGAAACAAATGGCTATCACTATCACAAGAAAGGAAACTAACAAATGGCTAACAAATGGCAACAAATGGCATGCAGTTTTAAATCTTACCTTGAGCGCAACGATTTCCCCCTTGTAATTGACTCGGAAAACCTCGCCAAATGTTCCCTCTCCAAGCTTTACCGGACTCGATAAATCACTGAAATTAATACTAGAGATAATAAATAAATAAAACATATTGTATATGAAAGCCACCAAATCTTTTCTTATAAGCATATAAATTCCAAACATAAAGATCTGGATTTTCTCTTAGAAACAACTATACTGTTATACTGACAGAAGTATTATAACTTACAGTACTGTCAGCTGCCAAGGCTGAATACTTTTCTGAATGCAAAGGTGGAAAAGTTCTTGCTTGTAATTACGTTTCTTAGCATACTTTGCTGTCCATGGGAAGCCATTTAAATAGAATGGCCTGTTCTCCTTTAAAAAAACGAATTATAAATTTATTTCCTTTTGATGTTTCAACAGAAGGAAATATTACTTTTAGTCTTAAGTGAAAGATTTAAGATTCTACTGCATGATTTCATATTTTATGATTTCGTTCATGACTGAAAATTTCTTTATTAAGGAAATGAAAAATTTATGCAAGTAAAACCAGAAAACATACCCCAGCACCATCACATAACGATAGACTCCTATCACCTAAAATTTTTCTAAGGGTAAATTACAAAAAATAAAACAAAATAACAACTGAATATCATTTCGAAAGAACTGAAAGTCCTCGATCAGCAAGTAATAACAAAGATGTAATGAGTGGCTGGTTTCCTAACTATTGATTATCCCATTGAAACTTATATTTATCTTATTTTGATTCTTACATATAAAGAAATCTTATCTCTTCCCAGCTTCTCTGATTACTTTATATTTCTGTTTTTCTAATAAAAAAACCTCCTTAATGAAATATGTAAAATCACTGCCTTAATTCGATATATTGTTACTAGAAGATTACCTTGCATGGATGCACAAATCGTGACATCGTCGCGCACATATTCCTGAAAGAACACTAAATGCAATAACTACAGAAAAAAATTCACAAGAATATTTTGATAATTTATTTCTCGAAAAGATTATTATCCGATTTTCAACTTAAACAGAATATTTTCTGTAAACAAGAAGCAATGCTTATGTTATATCCGAAATAAAAGAAGGAGAAATTTGTTTTAAAAGTGGCAACACTTACTTCATTTTGGATTCCCCAGCGAACAGGTGAGTTAAGAATTGTAAGCTGTGGGGATGAATTCTGAAGTGTTGTCAAAAGGTCTGCTCCATTAGGCGAACAATTGAAATCATTCGCTTCTATACCTGATCTTCTTTCCACTTCTTCATTTTCATCAACACTAAATTTTGCAGATCTCTCGCATTGTAAACATTAGGGAAAAAGAAAACTTTAAAGAACGTGAAGAAAGCAACTTACCGTAAGCAGATTGTTGATGCTATCCGTTCAGTAGTATCATAGAAAACTTCTTCCCTGTCAAGAATTATTGGACTCAACTGTTCACCTTCGGCAAATTTAAATACATTTTGATGAACCGCAGATCCAGAAGCCTGAATAACTTGCAGATTGAGGTAATAGAATTTGTAAAATGAATGCTTTCTGAGAGAACTAGAAAACTTACCTGAACAGGAGTTGACGTCGTTGGCTTGGATGAATGAACAACAATCAAAGGTGATCCTATAATGTCAAAATGATTTGCATTTTTATTTTTTTGCATCGATAAACCAGTAGAATACTTTAGTTTGTTGGAGTTCCCTTTGGCCACTTCATTTTCTTGTATTAGTTTATTACAAGTTTTCCCAAATCTTGTGTATAGCTTCGACTATGTGATGGAAAAGTTACCAAATAAAACAAAACTGACTTTAGATGAAAATTTCTGACTTTAGATGATCAAATTACTAAAACTGAACATCCCATATCACTTACGATCTTTACATAGCTTGCTATTGTCACGTTCAACAACAAGTTCATATTCTTCAGCCTCCTTAATCTAAAAAAAATGGTTCAAGTAAAACATTTCAGTTCTGACCAAATAAAACTGAAAATATGAAATGTATGGAAATAAAACTGAAAATATGAGGTGATCATACTAGCTGTGCTAAATCTCTGATTTAAAACCATATCTTAATCGTTTTCCAGTGAATGAAGGATGGCATAAAATGACCCCTTGTCATAAGATTTTCTAAATGATTAATGTCGCACAATGCTAATTAAACATCATAAAGTTATCATACAGACTTCATTGAGTAAACGCTGATATTCGAGCTCTTCTGCACTGATATTCGTTCGATCAACGGGTTTAGCACGACGTCGCCTACCTTCTTTTTTCGTTTTGCGCGAATCAGGTTGTAAAGAGTCATGTTCATGATCCAATAGGTCATTTAGTATGCCACCCACTATAGCTGTACGTCGAAATAAAAGATGCTGCTCAGCACACTGCAAAATTTTACATGTATGATTTTGAATGACAGTTTATTAAATGATGTAAAATCAGAAGTATCTTAATGATACAATTCCCATGTAATCTAAAATTCAATATTCAATCAGTCACTAGGATAAATCATCACACACCTCATTTCAAATTAATTGATAAATTAATAAAGAGTGAAAATTTTAAGTTAGTAAAAATCTCAATTTCCTCCATTACACATCAACTGCGAATTAGTTCCAAACTCTTCAAATAGATGAACGGTCAAAATGATGCTATTAGAGAGTGTTTACTTGTTTCAAGACAGCTTTATTCAATCCATTAACAAATGTTGCACTTCCTCTGGACATAAAACGTCTTCGGACCATTTCGTTATCTAAAAAATAAATTTCTACAAAAAATTGAACTGCCATATCAATACAGCTATATGCAACTGCTATATCGTTATCTCCAACATACAGTTAGAATTGTCACTAATAAAATGAAGCAGAAGCTAGACCAATCAAGAAAATAAAATATTGCAACAATGAATTGAAACAACCACGAATTCCTATATAAAACAAAATTCGCATAAACTTCACTTCTATCCAATTATTACCACTTTCTTTTTTCTAAAATAATTGAACTGCTGAATCAATATATCTATTCAGCAATTAAAACAACAATTATTCAATTTCGTAAATTAAAATTAATTAAAAGTTGGAAATTTACTAGTGAAATCATTTCAATCGTGAAACATTGTTAAATTATGTGTAAGGAAAAAGAAAGGGAGGAATGAGAGAGTTACGAAGATGAATCCATCGGGCCTCATTCTTTCTTTTCGTATCCTTTTAATCAAAATTTAAGGTTTCATTATGTGGATATAGAGAAATGAGTTTTTCTTAAACATAAGCCTAAATTCGGTTAAACATTTCATCCTTACTAGTATCGAGAGTCACATACTGGTACTATTCAAACAGTTTTTTCGTTTAACAAATTCTAACTTCGTGTTTATTAATAAAAATAGTTATAGTAAAACTGTAATATCAAACTGGTAAAGAACAATAATTAAGTAATTAATTCAACTTTTCAAAGATAAATATATCATTTAAATATTTATAGTGAATGAAGATGTTAAAATTCTATCAAAAAAATCAAGGAAAAGGGTTCTGGAATGATCTAAACTTCCAGACAGGATTATCTATCATAAATGCTTTTATTATGATCACAATTATACCGTATTGTATTTCCCGTTAAAGTCTTTTGGTATTACACCATACGTTATACCTAACATCATTAATTAATTTTCTACATCAATAAATAATATCATTAATTAATTTTCTCATCCTTAAATTTAGTAAAAATTTATACTTATAATTTTCTTCAACTCGCAAAAAAACCATTTGCTTAAAATCGAAACTAAAGTATCATTACAGACGATAATACATCCACTACGGTGGCAATTTCACAATTTAAACTTCACTTGAAATTTCAAAACAAATATCTGGCGGCATACACAACTATATTGCGGCCTCTACCAAAGACGTTAGAAAATGCAGTAGTTTGGGAGTTTTTTTTTTTTTTTGTTCCGGCTGCTTTATTGCTTACACAGCGTGATTTTGGATTTGGTTGATCAGTGATTCATTATCAGCAGTTACTGATACTCCATTTTGCATCTTGAACAATTCTATGATTTAATTTACATTCATTGCAAAAATTTTCAAGCGAATTTTTAACCTACATTATCATGCCCAAATCAGTGGATCTGATCAGAGTGCGTATCATGATATGGATTACAATGTGCATAACTGATAATAATATAGGTCATTTGGATCCACTGTTGTTATCATTTTCATCTCGATATTTAAACAATTTTCTGATGTTTAATTTTTTTTTCTCTTGTGTCATTCATTTACACTATAAATGTATTTTACTTTTATGCATCATATTATTTTACTGTATATTTTTCTTTCATTTAATATGGTTTACTTTCATTTAATGACATAATTTTCCAGTATCGGTTTGCAATATTACGATTGCAACATTGACATTATTATATTGAGTAAAAGTTCTTGCTTTCTTTCGAATTTTGTTTTTTTTTTTCGAGACTTGTAATATTTTTTGTTTATCTTTTTTCTTGTTGCTGTATTTTATACCAATTTTACTCTCTTTTCTCCGGCATATTTTATCGCCGATTTCTTCTAATATGGTTTAAGGAACTTCTGTTGCGGTATTTTTTGCATGTTTTGACTGCATTAATTTTTTTTTTTTGCAGTTACTATAATTGCCAATTTGTTATAGTTTTCTTTTATTTTTGCCTTTTCTATTTATCTTACAAAATATGAATCATCACTTGCAAATCTACGTTTTTTTCTGCAGTGCCAATTTTTCCGCTTTTTGTTTACTGATTCAAGCACAATTAAGAAATGAGGTAATGAATTAAAGAATTGAATTACAAGAAAGGATGGAATTACGCCAACGGAACGTATCACGAGATATAGACGGTAATAAAGGTACGACCAGAAGAAATATGCTGAAAGATGTTAAAGCCGATTGGTCGCCTGATAAGGTCTCTCTGTTTTCATTGTTATGCAGTTTTTTTTTGTGTTTTGATCTATTTAAACAAGTTACGATATATAGCGATCAGTTGAATTTTTACGATCATTTCACGTGGAAGCGTCAGACATATAAGCATAGGATGTAGGATGTATAAATTTTAAATAAGAATTTTTCGATAAGACATTTGTTTTGTTATTTCTATAATGGCATATGTCGAAAATCGAAATTAGCATTGCTATAATATGTTCACCTCCGGGGAAATTAAAATTGAGTAAGAAATTCTTCTGGATCCTATTTTTTAATTAGAAGTTCTTGGAACATAAAATATTTTCAAGAAAAAAATAGAGCATAATTGTAGAAGTCGCAGTATTTGGGTTTTCGACATTGGTTGTTAATTCTGATAGTTATTGGCGGAATCTATGGATTTGTAGTTTATCAGGATAATCGAATGCCCAAGGTCAAGCCAGCAGGGCAATTTGAGGAATTCTCAGAAGAAAGAGCACGATTGTTGTTACATTCACTTGCGGACCTTGGACCACGTACCAGTGGCTCGGAAAATTGCGAAATAAGTTTTTTTTTTTTCAATTAAAAAATAAAGGGAAACAGTTAAGAAAGATAGACAAGTTGGATCATGAACGACATTTTCGAAATTAAAATTTTAAATACGAGTGAAAATATATACTTATTTCAGGTACATGCATTTAAACTTATAACTGATAGATTAAAAAATGCAAAAGCAGAAGTTGAAGCTCGAGGAGTGAACCGTTTAGACATTGATGTCCAGCGACCATCGGGATGCTTTGATCTCGGATTCTTATCATCATTCACCCTATGCTATCACAAAATAACTAATATTATTGGTAAATTCTTATTTTTTTGTTCAATTTTTTTTATAATTATTTGAAAAGAGTATTTGCAAAATGTTTGGTTTTTTATTTTTAATTACAGCACGAATTGGACCAAGAGATCCACCAAAGCACTCAATTTTATTGAATTGTCATTTTGATACGTTCCCGAGTTCGCCAGGTGCTACAGATGATGCTGTAAGTATTCCCATCGCTGTTATCCTTTTTAATTTTCAATCATATATTAGTGGCTGCTTTTAGAGTTCGACATCGTCGGTCATTCCTTATTGTTGATCTGTAGAAAATAGAAGCCTTACTGCTGTTCATAAAAGTTGATTTCAGGTAAGCTGCGCAGTTATGATGGAGGTTATGGATATCATATCTCATTCGAAGGAACCTCTCCAGAATGATATAATTTTTCTTTTTAATGGAGGTGAAAAAAATGATTATTTCATCGATATTAGTAGTAAAGATAGCATATATATTTCTTAAACAAAAGATAAAACATAGGTATTGTGTGTAACTGTAAACGAAGAGGCCTTCAATAACATTGCTGCTACACACTCAAACATAGTCATACAGTTCAAAAATCAGTGCCTATCAATTTTTTGTAAGTAAACATTGGTTTTTGAACCATTCCCCACAGTTCATTTGTTTTGTTAAGCTCCATTTATCTCTGATTCAGGGAAATTACGTATTGTGTTTGATGCATGCAAATTCTGTGTACTAGAATTCGTCTTTCAGTTTTTTTTTCCCCTTTGCTATTACTAATCGGAACGAAAGACTTTTCCGAATTTTGATTTTAGCTGAAGAAAATTTTTTGCAAGCATCACATGGTTTCATTACACAACATCCATGGCGACATTCCATTCGAGCATTTGTAAACTTGGAGGGTTCTGGTGCTGGTGGCCGTGAAATACTGTTTCAGGTCATTATTTATGTTTGCTACATCATTTTAGCACTATAAGATAATTCTATCTAGTTATTTTGTCAATTTTAAAAATGTATTTTTTTAGGCTGGACCTGGAAATTCCTGGCTTTTGCATACTTATCTGGAAAATGCACCTCATCCTCACTGTAGTGTTTTAGCGCAAGAAATATTCCAAGCTGGTATTATACCATCTGATACAGATTTTCGGGTTTTTCGAGATTACGGTCGTGTTTCAGGTAAGGTTAACTGTTGTTTCTGATAAAGCCGAATAAATTAATCTCTAATGAATTCATGGGTTTTCAGGTCTTGATATTGCTTATTTTCGAAATGGTTGGGTTTATCACACGGAGTTTGATACTCCGAAATTTATCACTCCAGGATGTATTCAAAGAGCTGGCGAGAATCTGCTTGCCGTTACTAAGGTAAATTGCTAATATTTTGAGCCGCTGGCTAAAATAATAATTACCAGTTTTGAACGTTGCTGATCAGTTTTATTGATTGCCCACTTCGATTTAAAATTACCAGGTTTGATGTTCATCTATTTTTACACATGTTAAGGCTTTGGTTAAATCTCCATATTTGGATCGACCAGGCGATTTCGAACAAGGTAACCGTTGGGTATTTTATGACGTCGTTGGAATCTTTACGGTCTTTTATCCGATAACCGTGGGACAAATTCTCAATTATGCTACTGCAATAGCAGTTTTTATCGTTATCGTGTATCGTATCGGAAAAGGATTTTATAATTTAATGGATTTATTCAAAGCAGTTTTTGGTCATATTGTTGCGGCAATTGTCATGCTTGGTAAATGATTTTATGTAAACTTTTTTTGATGAACTTTTTTGTAGAGTTTTGTTTTACAAATGCATTATATGCATGTTTCAGTCTCGTATTAGCTCTTTATATATTACGTTTATTTCTCACATTTTTTAGTATATTTATTTTAATTCATTCAATAACCATTCACTGAAGCTAATTTCTAACATTTGAAAAAAATGTTTTTATTTATCAAAAAAGAAGTATATTTACAATAGTTTTGTATAGAGGAATTCAATAACCATTCACTGAAGCAAAATATAATTTCCAGCAACAGGGGCATTAATTGCCTTAGCTGTAACCAAACTGGACATGATAATGTGCTGGTATTCACTTCCGGAACTTGCTTTTCCTCTCTACATATTTCCTCTTCTTATCGCTGGTTGTGCTACTCATGCGGTTTTGGCTCAACTACATAAAGTATTTTCTTATTGCATTTTCATGCATCAAACAAGATAATGAGGGTATTTTTCCAGACATGGCTTGATCATATCTTAATGCTAGATAGGAATTAATTTTGAGAGAAGAAATGCAACTGTTTGATAGTTTGGAAGCATAAAATAACTGTTATATTGGAAGTACCGGAAAATTTTGCTATAACAATGTTGTTTGTTGGAAGTGCTACATTCAACCAGTAGTCGAAACTTGATATAATACAAATATGTAATGGACGATTTGAGAAACAGAAGGTTTTTATCAGTAGACAAGATTAAATAGGAGACTTTTAGAGACCTAATCAAGAAATGGTACATTTCGATGGTGTTTTATTATTGTTTTCAATATCGCTAGCACTTGCGACATATGCTGGTCTTGCTGGTGCATCTTTTCTGCTTTACAATTCATTCTTTTTATTACTTCGCGATCCACTGCTTTGGCTTCTAGGACGGATGCGATTTATAACAAGTAATTTTTGACCTTGAAAATTATTTGCTCAAAATATTTTTATAGGATTTAATAGGACTTAGTCATGAGGGTTCAAACTTTTATTCCAAGTTAGTGTTGTTGGGATCGTTTTTTAATTTCATTTTTTTCCAATTCTTAGGTTCAAAGTAAGGTTTGAATTAAGTGTTAATGAGTGTGACATTTCTCATTAAATGCAATCGATAAGTTTTGACGGAAATTTGCTTTTTTTTTGATATTGATAGGATTTTGGTAGAATTAAATTTGCAAAATTTAGAAATTTTTTTTCAGAAATCTCTCCACAATGGTTATTACTCACACAACTGTTCTGTACTGTTCCTGTAATGGTATTCGATGCTTATTCAGCAATTTTACTTTTTGAATTCTTCGTTCCGGTTACAGGACGTATGGGTGCAGCAGTAAACCCAGAATTTGTTATTTTACTAATGAGTCTTTTTGTTGCACTATGTTTTGTACTTTTTACGGTATGTACCTTCTAGCTAACATACTTTGTAATGATCACATTTTCGGACATATCTTTTTTGTGGATTTTGGAAATCATATTTCGGGTTATTCGAACAAATATTTTCTTTCCATTTCTTTATGGATATAAGCTAAAAAGCTGTGGATCTTAATTTCATGGATATCAAATTCGAAATGAAATTGCTTTAATTTGTCTTTACTTCAGAGTAATCTGCTATATGTTAGCCGTCGCGTGGACTATTTGCTAAAATGTGGTTTAGTATTGTATTGTGTGTTTTTTATAGCCGTATTCAGTACAAGGCTTGGCTGGCCTTATAAATATTCCGAAGAAAGTCCTCGTCTGAGACGTCTCATTACATTGGTATAACTTTTTTTTCTTTCAACAGTTTGAAATTCATAATTCTTTTAAACAGTTTGAAATTCATGACTATTATGAAGTTCAAACTTTTTCTAGGATATCATACGATCAACTTGAAACTTTTCTAGGATACAGAACGATCAATTTATCCCTTCCGCAGTAACATATCAATTCAAGAACATGCATTGTTCGTACAAACATTAGATTATCGTGGTATTAGCGACTTACCAGAACACACTTTTTTGACCGGTAACTCTCATTGATTCCTCCTTCGATTTTTCGATGTTATGTTTCAAAAATAAAATCTGATGTTATTAGTTTAATATAATTTTTAGGAAACAGTGAACCCAACTGTACTGGTATCAAGGATGAATATTGCCGTCTTCCATATTACATAGCTGTTCACGAGCTGTTTCCTCCGCGGTATTTGATTATTTTTCCGAAATCATGTATAAATTAAATTCAAAAAAATAATAGAGATGCCTAGTACTGGTCAGATTAACTTAATAATTACTCATGTTTATTTTATTACTATAGGTGCTGAGATTTTTTTCATTTCACTTATTCTCAATTTGGTATGATCAAGATTAATAACGATAATTAAAGTTAATCATTTTAACTATTCTGTTCAATGGCTCGCTAATGAACTACCCGTTGCTATCATGTTAACTTTCCTTCTATTATTTTTTTTAATATTTATCATTAGCAAAGTCTCTTCGAATTTTGATTTGTAGGGAGTCTCGTTGGATACCATTACCTGGTCATCAACGGATAGCTGATCCTATCAAAATCACCAATGTCGAGAAACACTTGATATCGAAATCTGAATTGCGATTGAGTTTTACGGTTTCGGGTGGTACTGATAAAATGTCATTGCACTTAACACCTATGGACGATTTTGAAATTGACAGTTGGTCATTTACAAAATTCCGGTCCGATGCTTTTAGTAAACGCAATACTTATTTTGTTTTTCTTTGTTATGGTGCCGAAGGTCCAAAAGAACGAAATTTCTGGATTGTGCTTAAAAGGGTTAGTTAACTTAGGTTTTATTATTTTTTTTGTTTAGTATTTGTTAATTAATCACTAGTAGTATAGCTTTTCATGTATGTACTCATTGATTTTCGGGACTAGTGAGTTAGATAGAAAGAAATTAATGAGGGAGTTATAGCTGCAAAAAATTTTCCTCACAAAAATATTAAAGCAGTGGAAGAAATTTCATTTATAGGGAGATAACGATTTCAATGAATTAGATATTAGCGAGACACCCGTTTTGGAAATATCAGTGGCAACACATTACGCTCATGGTTGTCGCTTGATTTTCTTCTCTTTTTAATAAACTAGATTGGAATTAGAAAGTCAGATAAACTGTAGATATCAGTTATTTCCGATATTTGAAAAAATTTTTTATTTTTCTTGAAATTAAATTCAATCCATTACATTTTAATTGAATTTGCTAGTTTGATTTTGTGAGATCGGAATAGTATTCGTTGCTTTTTTTTTGGAGAACTATAAATATGTTAACCAAACATGTGTAACATGTGGCGAATATCTTAAACATTAACTAATGCCCTAAGGACAAAAGGATCTATGAAGTTGAAATAATTGTAATTTTTTAATAATTTAAGTAAGACACATTGCGTATTTTGAATCTCATTTTTCAGGACGTTATCAATATTCTGAGACTCTTATGCAACTCCGATCATTAATTCAATCACGCAGAAAAACACCACATTTGGCTATAGGTTGGTGGAAATGGGCAATTACAACAACTGCTGCAGTCTCCGAAATTGTGGTCTACACATTTTGAATCGATTAATAAAATGATCATGATGCTGCATTTCCATACAATACATTCATCGACGGTGCTGGAAAGGTCTGATAACCTCGTGAAAATATCGATCGAGTTGATTTAATCTTAACTATCGACATTTTAGATTGCGTTAGTTTATACCTAAATTATAAGTGATGAAAAATGTTTATATTTTGTGATTCTTATTTGATTCGTTCTTTAAAGTTGAGTTTTTTGTTCATAGTTATAAATAAGAATGGCAGTGATATATGGCATACACTTGATTAAATTGAAATTTTCGTAGAAACATTGGTAATGTTACAAAAGTTGAAGACTGTTGCTTTTGATCTCTAAATTCTTCCATTTAATATATTATTCAGATTATGGTCAAACCATCAGTCTGAAAGTAATAACGATTATTGTAGCTGAAGCTTCAATTTTATTTTTCTGCGCAGTGAAATTGAAAAAATCTTTTTATTTTGCGAAAGACCTAATTTGAATTGTGGGAAACTATATAGTTTTTTTTTTCCTTTTGTATAAATATTTTTCGATGTTTAACTTGTATAATGTTTAGGTTAGTTTAAAAAATTTGTAAATTTCTTGTCCAAACGGTTTTGTCATGAACGCATTTTTCGCTTTTCGAGAAATCCTTTTTCCCATTTCTACCTCTTTTATGACTGCAACTAACGGTTCCTCGTCTGTTTAATCCAAGGTTCTGTTTTTTATTTTGATTTTAAATTTTCTGCATTTTTTGTTCTTTTTCCATACTTTTAAAAATCTCTCTTTTGGCATTCCACTTCCAGTGAAAATTTTCGCTGTCCATTTAGTTTTTTCTTTTCTTAAAATTTTTTTAGTTATTATTATCTGTATTTCTTCATTTAATGAAACTTTTGTATTTAAATTATGCCTATTAGGAAATTTTTAAATGAAAAACAATGAAATTGTGATTATTCATACATCATCAGCTGACAAAAATTTTATAATTGTTTTCATCTGAAAATAATCAAAAAAGAGCTTAGCTATAGAAAGAATAATTTCTTTTTTTGAGATATTATATTTCGGTATACAAAAATCTACAAGCGTTAATCTATTTTTTTGAGTAATGAAAAATGAGATTTTATACGTTTGCTGGTGGTAAGTATAGTTCATGATAATGTTGCAATAAGAGATTGTTAAGAGTCCTATAAAAAGTTTGCATGTGATCAAATAATTATTTATAATAATGCGATATCTGTTTGTGATGAAATGGTTATTTATAATAATGCAATAAAAATGGGATAATATTATTGTCAAAAAGAATTAAAATGCAAAATCACTTATACTTTATTTTCGAAATGATATATATCGGTATATCAACGTGAAACAACATTAGCATTTGTTGTTTTAATAATTACACTGCATATTCTTGCAAATTATTGTAATATTAAATTTGAAAAGATTATTTATTTATATTTTGAATGCTACTTAATTATTAACGCCCCTATATTTTATAGGGTAATTTTATATGTTGTCGTACTTATTACTTTGCTTATTTTATCTTATTTTGGGGAATAAATATGTAAAGGTGTTATTGGTGTTATTTATTGCCGGAAGAAATTGGATTGATATCCGGTAAATGTGGTCAGATATTTCCAAACTATGGGATACTATTATTTGATATTATTGATAATTCCTTTTTTTTTCAAGAAATTTTTGAATTTCTTAGAGGAAAAAGTTGACTTTCTAAATTTCCTATTAAGCATCAGTATTAGCATAAAAGCTGATTTTATTTTTTTTAATTAGCTACCTCTAGAAGGGATGATTGAAATTGTTCGAAGTTATCATTAATTTACTTCTATTTTATTTTTATTTTAACTTCTCGATAAGATTACACGATAATAGATTATGTAAATGTACATTCTCTACCTTTTTTGCATTAGTTTACTGTTCATAGTACCATGTCAAGTAGCACATATGTAAGATTTTACATGAATTTGGAAGCTAATCTTATTAGCTGATGTTATGTTAATAAAATAAAGTGAAGATAATCCATGTACTCGATGTTATTATTATGAAATATTATCATGAGGTAATGATGATAAAAGGTGAAAAAAAAATGAAAAAAAATCAATTCCTATGAATTCCTATGAATTGTATTAATGATAGTAACAACTGGAATACGTAGATTAATAATTAGAATGTTACAAGTAACTACATAAAAATGCTAAACGCATTTAATTAATTTTGTTTAATATTCCATATAATTGGTATTGAAAAAGATAGCTCCATGTGGTCTAGTTTGTTTGATTTTTCTGTTTATAAGATTTAAATTTAAATTTGTTCCTTCTTATTAAAATTTTCAGACTACCGGAATTCTTATATTTGAAATATTGGAAAAGGCAGTAATTAGGAATTTTGAAGCTGATGCTTCAGTTAAGCTCATCATCACAAGCAATTCGAAACCGACTGTTATATTTATTTTTTAAAAAAATTAGAAAAATACAGCTGTGCAAATGGATTATTTGGGCCAGACGGAGAAGTTATGAAAAGCGATGGCGACAATGGTAGTTTTCTTTTTTTTTCTTTTCTGCATTATAAAGTTTAAAGCTAACTATACATTATCTCGACTATTTGCAGTTGGAGTTACTGTAATGGTTTCCGTTTATAATGCTTGAAAAGAACAAGAAATTAGATATATATTCGTATAAAATATCATATTTAAAGATACTTAAAGATTGAAAGATAGAGAGACAGTCTTTGTTCGATATTTCAGATGGAACTATTGCTTTCAAGCATTTTGTTACTGCCCAAATTTAAAAAATGACACTCGTTTCACTTGACATATTTTATAGATGGATAGATCTCATTTATTATTTTGTAGGTTTCATTGGCGACCACAATTTCTGATGGTTGTTACAGCGGCCGGTTTTTCATTTCAGCAAAATGGAATCTCAGATGAAATGATATTAGCAGAAGCGAGAACGAATATCGATATTGATTACGAAGATTGGGAAGTTGGTAATCTTCGCCATATTATTTTTACTTCCGTACTAAAAACTGATGAATTTAATTTCTTATTTTTTTAACCCCATTTTTATCCCTGAGTCGCGACACTTCAATCTGAGGCACCACACTTTTGTTTTTATTTCATTCCAAACTCTTATCATTTTACATTTTTATCTCAGCCTTGGTGTCTTAAGAAAGTTATCTGTGTTATCAGGAAGTGAAATGAATTTCATGTATTAGAAACAAATTTTTTTTTTTCAGGTAGTGCGCAATGAAGGAAATTCAAAAGTATTACGAAGGTTGCGTGCGGATACCGGTTTATATGAATTTCGCTGCTCAGGTTCATATGAGTAAGTTTTTAAAACTGCTAAACAACAGTGTTAAATGACAGTAATTAACGAGCACTGTGTTGTGTATATATTAAAAACTTAATTTAAATATCTAATCAATATTTTCTTCTTTAGCTTGAGAAGACTTACGCTTCTATGTCTTTGAAAGTCATTTGTTAATTTGTGGAGATAAATAGCTTGAATCACGTTGTCCGAACCAAGGTAATGATTTGAACAAGATATTTTTAAAGGGAATCAACCATTTTTGAGGTGTGATGATCTGTGACCATTGTTATGAAAATTCCTTTGTTGTTTGAGAGTCAGAGCAATTAGAACTTCCAAATTTTATTTTCACACTGGGGATAATACTAAGAACTCTATTCCACGAACAAAGTGTTATCAGTGAATAGCAGTAAATTTGTTTTATTGATATCGGATTATAAGGATCGAATATATGGAAGCGTTGATTGGAGATGGGCTAGATAAAATTTTGTATCGACGAATTTGATTGAGGAGCGGAATTCATGATTTTGGAAATTGTTTTGCCACTCCCGATCCTCCGATCCCCCTCTCATGGGTATTTAAAGGGTTATAAGATGGGGTGTTGAATTAATAAC